CAGGGAAAACTGCGAAAAGTCAACAACCGGGGAAAACTTTTTCCAACGCGACAAATTTCTCACAAAGGCACATACGACTCTCCCGTCTCCCAGCAGCGGAATACGACCCCACCCCTCACAGCAACGAAATATGACCCCCCTCCCAGCGGCCAAGTACGACCCCCATGTGTTAACACAATGATGCTGTACCCTGATAGTCTATCCTCCACCAGTACCACTAAAACCGTCGTCATTAGCAGGCGCGACGTCGCACGCGACGCCCACTAACGCGGCGAATTACGATTCTCTTGCCACATACCCGTGGAAGGGCTGCGAGAGGGCGTTTGGCCGCACCCCACTCAGCCCTTCCAGCGATGACATTGGCAACAACCTGCCCGCCTCCAGCCATCGTGCTGAGTGCCTTTGAATGACGGAAAGATTAGTCAAAATAACATAATAATGATAAAGCCAATAAAAGTAGCAAAGAGTCAAAAAAGGTCCGAAGAAGTCGAAAAAATGATGGTGCTGAGGATTATTTTCACTCACCTACGAACCCCGACACTATCAGCGTAGCTTAAAATATCGCTCCAAAATTCCGTTTCATTCTCAATATTCAATTCTATGGAAGAAACCAATGACGAGGACAGCAGTAATAATAACCATTGCCGTAAAATCATCTGAAAACCCAAAATTGATTGAAAAATTCAAAATTTGATACAGCGGCTTGATCAACAGAATACGTTATGGTAGACATGTGGTAGAGAAATATGTATAGGTTTATGGAAAACTGGATTATTTCTATTATCATTGCTGACATAACTTACTGTTTACTGCTGCTCTCTTTATTAATTTCTACTATTTAATGATTCGTTTGCTTTATTACTGTTGTTGTAAATGATATTTACTATTTCGATTACAGGTTCCCTATTACTGAGTTACTATTATTTAATATTTCTGACAACAACTAAAGATCAAATTTCGAAAAAAAGTGAAGGAAAGAAGGGGTATTTTCACTTCTGTAGTGAATCACCAGTTCTTCACCCACTTAGGTAAACAATCACCCCTATCGGCGCAAACTTGCCAGTTTTGATGACCTTTCAAGAATTTTCGGCGCTTATCTCAAGCAATGCCCATTGGTAGGAATGCTGAATAGATCATTTAGTGGAGGAGTGAGGAAGTGTCCAAGACTATCACAAAAAAGGCAGTAGGATAACCTGTCAAAATAGAGCGATAACCGCTACTTTTAAGTTATTCGGCCCAGAAAGTGCTGTCATTATATTGAATGAAAGAAACTTCCTCACAACTTGCTAAGATAGAGCCAGTAATCTGAACGATCCGAACACTTTCCTTCTAAGGCTGCGTTCGTACTTGCGGCAGCGTCCATCAGCGTTTCCGAGCGTCCGGCAGCCACAGCGACTAGGAAAGTACGGATACCGATGAGCTCTGCCAGCGTCCACCAACGACCAGCAGCGTCCCGAGGGCTAGAGAAGTATAGGTATTGGTCTAGCGTCTGTCAGCGTCTGCCGACGTCTACTACTGTTTCCAAGCGTCCGGCAGCGAGAGCGACTAGGAAAGTATAGATATCGGCCTAGCGTCTGCTAGCGACTACCACCGTCCTCCAGTGTGCACCAGCGTCAGCCAGCGTCTATCAGCGTCCACCAACGTCTCGAGGGCTAGGGAAGTACAGCTATCGATCAGCGTCTGCCAACGTGCCCCAGCGTCTACCACCTTCCAGGGGAGGAGAGTATGGGTAGCAGATAGCTAGCAGAGTATGGGAGATAGGAGTGTAGTAGACTGCTTGTGGAGAGTATGGCGCAGTAGGACGGCAGCAGACAGCTGGTAGAGTATGGGGAGGTAGGAGGGTACTAGCTGTAGCCATACTCTCCTCTCCCGGACGCTGGCAGACGCTAATCGATACATATACTTCCTTAGCCCTCGAGACGTCGATGGACGCTGGTATACGCTGGCGGACGCTGGGGCATGCCGCGGAGGACGCTGGTAGATGCTGGCAGACGCTAGATCGATATCTATACTTTCCTAGTCGCTGACGCTGCCGGACGCTCGGAACGCTGGTGGACGCTATTGGTCGCTGGTGGACGCTGCCGCAAAGTATGAACGCAGCTTAACGTTCGAGCTCAAGCACGAAAGCTTAGGGGAGCGGTTCGAACTGTAATTTTATGCAGGCTATCGAATAATGACGCTACTCATCAGGACCTCATATAGCAAAGTAGCAAGTAGTGTATCGGAATCCTGCTGAAGATGGGACGAAAAGAAAAGCCTCGTCTCCTAAAAAAATCTTGTTGTTTTTCGTTGTATTGAGGCTATACTCGAGTAATGTTTTCAATAGTGCAGTAAAAATGTAGCCGGAAAAATTGATGGTTATATTCATTATTTGATTCAATCTTATTTCGAGAGATTTTTCAAGGATTATGCCGACTTGGATGCTGTACATACACAAGTGTGGATATATGCACTTATTCACAAGACATATTCATACATCTAATTTTTATTTGGACAGTAATTAACACCGAAGACTAAATATCTCTACAGCGTCACTACCTGCGTCTCTGGGGGGGGGGGGGGTTCAAACAGCATTACTTATTCCCGGTAATTATTAGGTTGTCCGGAAAGTTCTCAGCGTTTTCGAGTGTTTCACTTTAAACGATCATAACTTTCTTAATACTCATCGGATTAATCCAAATAAGCACCATTCGAATCAGCACACTTTGCCAATGTGAAGACAGTCGACAAATCCCACCAAAGAAAAAACTGGGTGGTCGAGAATCCACGAAATCTACGAAGGCTTTTTTGGATGGCCCTAATTGATGAAGTATTTTCCAGCAAGGAAGTTCTGAAAATGTTTGAAAAGGTGATAGTCGGTTGGTGAAAGGTCTGGAGAATATGGCGGGTGAGGTAGAACTTCAACCCCCAATTCGTTCAATTTATGGATAGTGATTTGTGAACAGGGTACAGCATGGGGATGTGCGAAATGTCGGTGTGAGTACGACCTCCCCCCCCTCCCCGAGTCCAGGCACGAAAATTTATAAATTAAAATAAAATAAATTTAAAATATATCTAAAAAAAATAAATTTGTCTTACAAATACGACCCCCCCTCCCCAGAGCAAAAGTACGACCCCCCCCATGGGTTTGACACAACGATGCTGTACCCTGTTTGTGAAACGTGTGGGCGGGCGTTGTCATGCAAAAGAATCGGACCCTTTCTGTTGACAAGTGCTGGCTGCAGCTGACGCAATTTTCGGTACATTTCGTCGATTCCTTCACAGTAGGGTTCTGCTGTGATGGTTTGGCCTGGTGATAAAAAGTTATAGTGGATCACACCAGCCGATGACCACCAACCGTGACCAGAATCTTTTTTTCGTGAGGGTTCGGCTTTGAAAACGTCGGAATCCAACCACTGTCCGGAACGTCTCCTGTTATCATACATGATCCACTTTTCATCACAGGTGACAATTCGGTTCAAAAACGGGTCGTTTCTGTTGCGCAAAAGCAGTGAAGAAGAAACCTCGAGACGTGCCAATTTCTGCCGGTCACTCAAATTGTGGGGCACCCATTTGTCGAGTTTTTTCACCTTCCCAATGCGTTTCAGACCATCTGCAACACTGGATTTGCCAACGCCTAGCTTTTCTGCAATCTCTCGAACTGTTTGGGATGGGTCAGCCTCCACAAACCCCTTCAAATCCTCGTCAGGTATTGCTTTAGGTCGACCGCTATGAGGTTCATCTTCAAGGCTGAAATCTCCAGAACGAAATTTGTTGAACCATTGTCGCACGGTGCTTTCTCCTACACTATTGGGCCCCCACACCTGGTTAATTTGTCGAGCTGTCTCGAGTGCGGAATGACCTAATTTTTAGTTGAAGAAAAATATCGTCCGAAGTTGCTCTTTTGACATGCATCAAAAAGTCTTGGGAAAAGGGGGTTTATCAAGCATTGTAGTGAACGGCAATCTACCTCAGCTAAAAATTCTCTTCAGGATGTACTACTGAGACGCAAGGGAGAATGAGTTTTTAATCAGCAATGAATGTACAAAAAATAGTAACACAAAACGCTGAGAACTTTCCGGACAACCTAATATTATTCTTCTTAAAGTATTTACATTCTAAATAAGCGCAATAGAAGAAATCCAGTTGAAGAATAGACTCAAATTATCCGGTTAATCGAGTGCTCAAAGCAATCTAATTTTGAAAACTGGGACCATATGACTTTCTTTATAAATATGAGAACGTGCAATGCTTGGAGAATAAGCGTGTAACTCACACAAATGTGCTGATAAAATAGCCATTAACGGCAAGTGAAATTGCTTCGGCAAGAGGATCTCAGTCAACTTGAATTTCATGGTCGTAACGTAACGTGGAGATGTGTTCTGAAACAACATGTTATCTCGGTCATACTGGTATGTCTGCGTCTCAACAGAACATATGATTTCAGTCTTACTGGCACATGTTTGGGTCTCAAGCTGATCTCTGAGCCGCACCAGCAGAGCTGTGTACAATAGCACGAAATATTTGTTTCCTGCAAAAATGTTGTCTGTCTGGTCCGTTCCAGCTCTAACCCGAATGAACCCTCGCGTTTTCCTGAATCCAAAGCTTCACCCATGATCAGGGTGAATGAAAAAAGGAAAAATGTGTGAATGGGGACAAGCCTAAGTGGAAGACCATTTCCACCAAAGATATGCCTTTAGTCAATCTCAATTTTTCGTCCTTTTCGTTCTTACTTTTTTAATTCTCCATAACGGATTCATACGGATCTCATTCAAGTGCCGGAAGATCCCCACGGGGATAGGATAGGCTTACATAAACATCTAGTAATCGATTGATAATTTCAGAACGTTCTTCAACATAGAGAGGGGAGAGCCAAAAAAGACACTTTTTTCTCGACTCTCAGAGCGGAATAAATTACACTTTATGAACTTCTGATTGACCATTTCTTA